ATGCAGATCTCAGAGTAGGCAGGGAAATGACCCTGTTTTTACAAAGGAATGACTGCTTCCTAAGAAAATAAGAAGATTCCTCAAATTCCACAAGGAATATGTGCTTTACGTAAGGCTAACCAGTCAGCAAATATGTGTGTAGGGCACAACATAAGCTAAAGACTGTGACGGGAGGTGTTTGGTGCCACTCTTTTAAGGCTAGTAGGGGCTGCTGGTTGGGCCACCCTTTTAGAGAAGTGGTTCTCAAACTTGAATAGTCTATTGATTTCTTTTAAAGTATATTATAAAATTATGACCTCCAGTGTTATTTTTATTATAGTGTTAATGTAAATATTAAAAACATAAAACTCCTTAAATTCTTGTACCACTATAAAAAAGAAACTTTGACAAATTAGGTAAAACTTAGTTACATAAATTTTATAGTGTTATTCAAATAAAGGATGTAAATTTAATACAATGAATAGAAATGTCTAAAACTAAATTTGACATACTATGTTTAGTAATAAAAGATATAACCTCCAAGTTCTATATTTAATTTAATTAGTTTCTGATTTTGACTCCAATAAAAATGATATAAAGAACACCTTTTTTGTAAGTATGTTGTACAAACTATTCTTAATAACTTTAAGGTGTCAGTTCCTACTTCAGGCTAATAAGACTTAAAGCTATCAGAGAATAGCTTTAAAAGAATATAATCTTTGAACGCTCTCTTTATTTACTTGGATAGGAAATTACTATTGGGATAGAGTTGTGTATTCAAACCAATAAAAGCTAAAATTGAAAACTGAAAAAATGTTTCACTGTGGATTTTCTGTTACACTTACTGCTAATGATCAGTGCAAGTTGAACCATAGGACGATAGCATCTGAGCATATGTTAATACGCTGACTGCTGCTGCTCAGGCACTTTTGGCTCATCATGTCCTGCCATATATGATAAGCAGATTCTCTGATGATTCTTGTCTTTCTACTACAGCAAAACATTCTGTCTATATGTATCTGTATATCATTTGGACTTCACTTGTTATGCACTAAGTTATAAACTCAAAGGCATATGCTGAAATTATATGGTTATACTCACTTATAGGTTAGCCATGTAGACGACCTGGAATATGCTATTATTTTCTTTATTAGGTTATTATTGAAATGTAAACAGAGAACTAAAAACTTAAAAAACTTGTAGCAAGCTCATGGACCCCTGTGGGTACACCCCTAGAGCCTTTGGGACAGCACTCTTTTGGAATATAACATGGCTCTATGAATGCACATTCCTTCCTGCCTTTCAAGTCCACACTGCTGGGTGCTAAGAAAGTTGTTCTGTTTTTCTAACATTCAGACACAAGACAACATACAGAACTGTGTCAAGAAGAATTTAAAGGGAAATTTTTCTTTCTCGGCCTGAGATGTCACTCCAGGGTTATAAAGGGGGCAAGTTTTAATGACATCCATCTGTTGCAGATTAAAATAGGTGGGGCTCAGCATTGGAATTCCTTGTTCAGAGTTTGACTATGGGCAAAGTACAATTGGTTTTAGGATTTGAGTGTCCTAGGGACACAAAGCAGCAAGGCAGAGAGAGGATAGTCTTATATTTGTCTGAGACTTTCTCCCAAAGGAGCTGCTTTTGCCTCATTTTCTCTTTATTATGCTTTTATGTGTGAAATCTCCTGGTTGAGCAAAGAAAACCGTCTATTTTAAAGGCATGCTTTTCCTCCTGCTTATCCTTGATTTGAAAACTCTTGCTTTTATCATAATCAGTGGGAAACACAGGATGGCAAACACATTGCTGTATCTCTCTCCATGAATGTTTGAATCCTCTTTCATCTCTGTATTGATTGAAGATAACCAGGATAACCACTGTTTATCCAAAGCGCTTGTGTCAAGAGCTTTAATCACAGATTGACCTCATTGTAGGGTATGATGTGCATGTGTTTGTATGGAACGGGGAGAAGCATATTTCTATGCAAGTGTATACATTTGAGCTTCAATAATGTCAACATTCACACATAAATTTTAAAACCCTGTTTTATTTCTGTCCATGAAATTCACATTCTTGGACTATTTTATAATATTTCCATGTAATGCATTTTTTCACTGTGGGGGAAGCTAAATCCCTTACAGGATTCTAGAAGAATTCAACTTATACGAAGGTCTCCTATGACTCAACTGCTGAAGTGGTTCTTGGCAGGATGGCTCAGATATTACATTTCCATTTGACCCAGCCCCTTCAGAACACTGGACGCACTGTTTTCTAAAATTCTAAAGATTTTCTGTAACCTTGACATGCATCCACTTTTTAAAAGTCTGATTCAGGAAAGAGAAAACCAGTTATGAAAACTTTTTGTTATTCTATAACATCAAAAGCAATCCTCAATGTCATGTCCAATCCCCAGAGAAGGTTCAAAGACTGTCTATGACAAAGACCTCAGCAATACCCGAGGCCTCGCGAGACCATCATCAGCTGCTCTAGGCTTCTGCAGTGCTCTCTCTAGGTGTCTCTTCATCCCTTTGGGGTTAGGGTCTTCCTCTGGCTCCACCTGTTCACAGCATTCTTTTTTATAGGAACAGTAAAGCATCTTGATCTCTTGCTGAGTTTAATCATGTTAGGCATGTAGAGGGAGACAGACAATTGGCTTCTTAATGCAAAGCATCCTTTATCACCTGTTTGTTTTCTCATTCTCAAATGAATGTGTTTCTGAGTAGTTTGTCTCAGATTGGCTCTTAATTTTTCTAGGTTCATGTAGATGGGTGATAGCTGTGAGGGTAGGGAGGGTAGTCAAGAATTTCCTCTCCAGTCGAGGCACTTTATTTAGCAAGTGCCATGATTTACAGAGTAAATATGTAGACCAAAGGCATAACTGTGGTTAACATAGATGAAACAAACCTATAGCTCACAGGCCAGAAATCTGTAGTAATATCCACTGTGATATTTGAAGGTGTTGGATAGGATAGCAGATAAACACCTTCTGGATAGGATAGGAGATAAAACTTCCAGCTCTAAACTGATGAACATAAATTAAATTTTAGGTCTTCTACTAAATAAGTGTGTGTAAATATGTGACTTTGGAAATTTCTAAATATCTTTCCTCATTTATTAAATGGGCATAAGAATAGTTTTTTTCTCACAGTATTATTGTGTTTGTGATATAATACATGTGACTCCCTTAGCTCTGTTCCTGACCCACAGTAAACACTCAGTAAATGCTACCTATAAGCATTTCCTTTACGTACAACTTGGAAGCACTTTATAGGAATAGTCTCTAACATAATATATAGCACACAGATTTGTTTTGGAAAAACTTTATATAGAGGAATAATATGTTCATATTTTATACCTGTAACCTAATACGATTTAATTTCTGTGGTTTTATTGTAAAATTGATATTTCTTGTGAGATGTTAATTTAATACATAGTGTTATAATTCACTTTTAAGTGCTGTGACAACAAACCTGAAAGTAGGAAATCTTGGAATTTAGCATTTGCTGCAAACAGCAAAATAAATTTCACAGAATAGTCGTTTAAATATGAGTCACAGTTCAGTTACTATAGCATTGCAGATATTTGTGGGGCACTCTGCCATCGGCACAGCCTTCAGGAAGGATGAAGAGTGAAGAACAGTGTGATATTAATCATACAATGAAGCATTTCTAAAGAATCAGGGCATGAATTCCAGATGTATAGATTTCAGTCACACCTTTCAACTCTTAATAAATAATCTATCTCATTTATAAACATATATGCAACTTGGTATTTGGGTTAAAAGTGAGGTAATTTAGTTCTGTGGTTTTCAGTCTTCCCATGTGTAAATCATTTTAACAGTTTGCAAGTAATTCTATATTTGAAACTCCCAGAGAAAATACTTCCATTTCTATCTCTATATATCACCAGGGATCATAATAAATAGCTGATAGAGTGTGCCAAGAGGTTCCTGCCAAGTACATTTTTTGAGGGAGGGAGGCAGTGTAGCCTAGTGAGGAGAATGTTTGATTAAGTCATCAAACCTTCATCTCACTTACTAATAGGTAAACTATGTCTCTTTTTATGCTACCATTTACCATTTTCTCTTCAGTCAGATATTATATCACAAGAAAAATTATAACAGTTATGCAGGTGTCTTGGGATCTAGCAAAAGTTTGTCATCATAATTATGTTAAGGTTTAAAAGTCAGACTTCATAACCAAGCCAGAGGGGCAGCATGATTACAACTGTGCATCTGGAGCAGCTCTCTTTAGGACTTTTCACGGACAGAATTCAGCTGATTCTCCCAGCATTCGATTTTGAGAAGAGTGTGGGAAGATGAGAAACTTAAAAAGCAGTCACCCCATCCAGTGACCATCTTTACCAGAAGATTTTAGTCTGGTATTATGTCAGCTGGTTCAAATTTAATCATATTTTCCCAAAATCACTGGGATCACAAAATTTGCATCAGCCCAGTCCACACCTGCCAAGTAGTATTATCCCCTTTCTTCAAAGCACCCTCAGAGCTTTCTGTTATTCACTTATAATGAGAACAGATGATTGGCAAGTGACCCATACTCAGTGTCCTTCCTCAGAAGCATCTGAAAACCGACAGGAAAGAAAGAGAAAGAAAAAACAGTAGCTTTAATTTCTTTAGCTTTCTGATTCTTTTTTGACTCGACACTAAGCTCAGTATAAAGCTGCTAGAATCTTGAAGCTAAAATGAATAATAGCAGTATTTGAGGCTAGGATCAATACATCTTCAAATGTGGCTGAAGATTTTGAATAAAGCAGTAACAATTATTTCGATTTTAATGGTTCTTTTATACTCTAAAATACTGACTTTTAATGTACTTAACTCTCTAGAAATATTGTGAAGTTCCTACCTTATACAGTAAATGATTTTTCAATGTTTTAAACTCAGCATTATTGAAATCTTTCCAACTAAAGCTTTTCTGACTTCCGTGTAAACATTCTTGTCTTTCTGTATTTGATACATTTTTATTTCATCAATAGTTCACTAAAGTCTTTTCTTTTTCTCACAGTCTGACAGCAATGCAAGCTTTCTTCGTGCTGCCAGAGCAGGCAACCTGGACAAAGTTGTGGAATATCTGAAGGGGGGCATAGACATCAATACCTGCAATCAGGTAAGAAAGTGGCAGCTGGCTGTGTGTCGTATAATGAAGAAACACTCATTATATTCTCAGAGCCAAAAATTATTTGTGTCTTTATTAAAAATACTAAAATATCAGTGACTCAGACTCCTGAAGCCCTATTTTTGTCTCCTTACCAACTTTTCAAGCATCAGATGTTTAGAGCTAGTGTTGCTGAAAAAGTAGATAGGTCAGTTTTGTTTATGAAATGATCTGGGCCACCTTTAGTTGGAAATTTGACCAAAAATGATGTTTTACTTCTCATTTGTCATCTAGTAATCTAGATCTTGGCTTCTTTCCTTCTCTACTATATGCACTTTACTCATGGGAAAGTAATTACAATTCAGTACAGAGAAATAAGAGGATAAAATTTTCTCCTTTTTAAAAATTTATTTATTTATTTATTTATTTTTAAATTTTCTCCTTATTAATTTTAAAATATGGCTTATAATGATAGTAATTTGAACATTATTGTAAATGAAGTATCTATTTCTAATGTTCATTCAATAAGGATTTTAGAGAATATTATATGCTTTGGCTATTATTTGGTACCAATATTGACACATTTGTGCTATTTTTGACTGAGATTTTTACATCATGAATTAAAGTGTCTAGTGGACTGCAATATTCACTTTAATGCTAAATGTTGTGTTGTATGTGTTGTGTGTGTGTTTGACAGAGACCTAACTCGGAAGTGAATAATTCTGACTAATTTTAAGTTAAAAGGCGGTAAATGTCATTACTGGATTCTAAATTATATGTAAATTCTTTTTTCTACATCCTGGTATATATTGAACCCAGTTATGTTTAACTTATAGGCCACTAAAATTAGTAAATCTTTCAAAAACAACTCTTCAAAACCTGAACCTGGTATCTTATCCTCAAACTTACTGTACTTCCAAATTCCTACCTGCTGATTTCCTCGGCAATGTGCCATTTCAACCCACCTGTTTCCCATTCCTCATCTTTCCCCCTCTCCAGCCATCACTTCTCTCTTTGTTCACCTTCTGCATCCAAATTACATGAGCTCGGATCACCTTGCAGTACTTAACAGAGTTGTCATAACAGCCTTCTTATTAGCTTCTGTCTTCAGTCTTGTCCACTCTGGTCAATTCTCCACACAATGCCTTGAGTGATAAATAAAAAATCAGATTACAACACTTACTTCCTCCCCATACTTTCTCTGGCTACCAATGCCCAGATTAGTGAGGTGGTCGTATCAAAATCATCTGCAGGCTTTGCAAAGGGTACAGGATTTCCCTCCTTCCACTTCAGTCACTGGCATAGAGAGCATTGTTACTGATGTCAGTATTTCTCGTATTTTAGGGGAATGTGTCTCTTATCCTGAAAGCATGTTGAGAGCTATTTGATGTTGGGAAAGGCATTCTGCTGTGGCCCTGAGAAGTCCTGCAGATACTTTCGGGAATAACAAGAATGAAAGACTTTAGGATTGCTTTTGATCTAGGCCATTTGTCAGGATGGTGCTTGCAGTGAGCAACCTTGAGGGCTTAGGCAATATCTCCCTCTGGATACAAAGCAGGCCTGTGTGAATCCCCCAAGGTCAGTGTTCTCCTTTAACACAAGGGATATGTACAGGCATCCGTCATTGTTTCTTTGCGTCAACCCTGTTAGACGTTAGGGGAAGGAGAGGATAGGGAACTGGTGTAAGCAACAGGCTAACACTTGGCCACTGCTTTTTCTGTGAATTACAGTGTCCTTTGTTTCTGACCCGGAAGACTTATGTTTTCTTCCAGCATCATGAAACAGTAATGGTTTGTCTTTTAACTTTTAGGTAAGATAAAATCCCAAGAACTTTACACAGTTCTTAACACAGACCTGTGGAACAAAGCCAAATTACTGTATCCCAATATGTAATGCCTTCATATGCTGCATTTGCATTCCTCCATCTTATTTTTCATTATCAATTTATCTGATATGGTTTTTTTGTGTTCTTCTGGACAAATAATTTGAACTTTAGATACATTAGTTACCTTAAGAAAGAAAGAGCATTCAAACTTTCATATGGATATATGGACTTACTCTATAAAATGCCTATGAAGTTGAATATGAAATATTTAATACTTTTGAGGTACACTCAGGTTTCTTTAAGTAGTTTAAATGCACTCCCCAAATATCAGTTTATTAACTTTCTAAATTTACAATATGTTAGAGAATAAGCAATAAAACTTAGTTCATTTAGGTAAACTTATCATAAATAATGCCAAAAAAGAGAATCCAAGGAAAATAAAGCTCATTTCAAACCAAGTCTGCTTCACACTGAAGTATAACAAATATATTAATTGTATGAAAGGTCTTAGGGTTATTTTAAGAAAGAATAATCTCTCAATAGTAAATACTCAGTTCTTATCATACATATAGACCAACCTAACTTCTTGAGTTAGCTTTTTCTTATAGTGGCCAGCCATCCACGAACATGTCACTATAAAAGGCAAGAACATTTATTTCTGTGAGAAGGCAACATGATGTCACAAAGCCCATATAAAATTTAGAGACCACAGGTTCAAATTCAAGTTTTACCTCTACTTTTAAGAAGTCATTTCACTTCAGAAAGTGACACTTTTCTAACTTGTAAAACAGGATAAAAACAATACATTTGATGCTTGTATCCCTGGGGTTGCAATATAAGTTAAATTATTAAATATAAAAGGACTTTCTAAGATATATGTGTTCTAATTACAATTACTGTATATAATTCACCAGGAATTATACAAATTAAAATTGACTTACACCCCAAATAAAAGGTTGATTCTCCTCAATTCCCTCAAATCACCAAGTATAAAGTAAAGGCAAGGCCAGGTGTGGTGGCTCACACCTATAATCCCAGCACTTCAGGATTATAGTGGGAGGCTGAGGCAGGAGGATTTCTTGAGCCCAGGAGTTCCAGGCTGCAGTGAGATATGATTGTGCCACTGCACTTCAGCCTGGGTTGGTGACAGAGTAACCCTGACTCTCAAAAAATAAATAAATAAAACAGGCTACACCTGTAGTCCCAGCACTTTGGGAGGCCGAGAGGGGTGGTTTGCCTGAGGTCAGGAGTTCGAGACCAGTCTGGCTAACATAGTGAAACCCTGTCTCCATTAAAAATACAAAGAATTAGCCAGGCGTGGCGACATGCACCTGTAATCCCAGCTACTTTGGAGGCTGAGGCAGGGGAATTGCTTGAACCGGGGAGGTAGAGGTTGCAGTAAGCCAAAATCATGCCATTGCACTCCAGCCTGGGCGGCAGAGCAAGACTCCATCTCTAAACAAACAAACAAGCAAACAAACAAACAAACAAACAAAATCCTCAAAGTAAATGTGGTCTGATACTGGTTCTGTATTTTTATTAATACTACTCAAGACAGTATATTAATTAAAGATTAGGGAAATAAAGTGACTAATGTTACCTACTTAGCTACTGTGTATCAGACTTTGTGCTGGGGCTTTACATGTGATGATTGTTAATCGAGATGAAATATTGTGAGATAGGGATCAGCTCAAGTTTATGAATGTAGAAACTGGGCCCACAATGGTTAAGTGACATTCCCAGGGCCACAGGGATCTCAGTTTCCCATGTCTAAGCTTTTTCCTGCTAAAGGATATCTTTTTGTGTAGCTATTTGGAGCTGCCCTTCAAATTAATGCAGTAGTGGTCCTTCATCTTAAACCTCAAAACTTATTTTTTCATCTGCTACTGCTAATATAAAAGAACTTTATTCATAGGCAGTTACAGGATCTTTTAAGTCAAAGAGCACCACCACCAGGATTACTGCTAAAACTCAAATAAAATGTGGAACAGGAAATTATTTCCAAATACCCAGGAAAGTAAAAGAGGCAACTATTCAGCCAAACTATTGCTATTTCTAAATATGCAATATTTAAAGCTAATACAGCATATGAAAGAAGAAAAGAAAATGTATTCTCTATTTTGCTGCTAAGACTGAGTTTCTCGGGAGCATTACGACATGTAATATAGAAACCAGGACTTTCTGTACTCTGTTGTATTTCTCAATGAAAGGCAATCTGGGCTGCACCAGCTTTCCAAAAATATCACATGTGTTGGCGTGCTAAGATTCCTTAAACTGAAATTTGAATCAATGTTTTTTCTTTATAAAATTGGTCTCACAACTACCATGAGAAGTTTAAAATGTAATTCCAAATACTATTTTGCTTCTTAATTATTTAAATGATATGGAGAAAATTCATAAATTCAGCACAAGAAAACACTCTTAAAAGAATGTCAATTTTTCATTATTCTTTTTGAAATGATTACAAATAGGGTTGTTAACTTTTATTTTCTTTAAAAGATTAAACTAGTCATCTATTTACCATATTATTTCTTGTACATTCAGAAGAGAGAATACATGTTAGCATTCAATTTATTTAAGAAACTCATAAAGACTTATATTCTTGCCTATTACCTAGCATAATTTAATGCTGTTACAAACAAGATAAACATGCAGAGATTAAAAATTGAGTTTATAATATATTAATAAAAGTTTATAGCCAGTTACAAGCCAATAAAAACCCCAGAAGTTTCAGATACTTTTACCATGTATACAATTTACTGGTTTCACCGTAGTTACTTCAAAATGAAAGACTATCACTTAGCACTTATTTAATATATAATCCTAGATATGACACCAGTGATTAACAGGTTTTAAAATGCCCTGATTTTTGGTTTTGACCTTTTACTACTAGAGTGTAAAGGTGCAAAATTATCAGTTAAATCCTGTGTTTCCTTTTTCATAAGCAGAAGGCAAGGTTGAAGCACCATTTTCAAAACAATATTAATGTTCCTCAAATAGCAGACCTTTAACAAGAAGAAGATACACCCAACAATGACTTTAGCATATGCTCACCCAGTATGACTCAGACCATGAAGCATATTTGGAAGTCACATTAACAATGTGGATGCTGGAAACCGAATTCTAGTTTTTCCCACTTACTAGCTGAGTGATCCTGGGCAATCAACTTCTGCAGGCCTGAGTTTTC